AGCTCCTGAACCATAGATTCAGTCCTCCTGCCCTATAGATGGGCTCTTTCTGAACCGTAGATGAGGTCCTCCTGGTGTATAGATGGGCTCCTGCCAAACCGTAGATTCGGTCCTCCTGGAATACAGATGGGCTCCTTTTGAGCCTTAGATAAAATGGTTCTGAAATATAGATGGGTTTTTCCTGAGCTATAGATGAAGTTCTCCTGAACCATAGATGGGTTCCTCCCAGTTATGAACCTCTTCCCCTGCATTAATTAATTGCAGATTAAGAGCAGGGAGAACACAGCCAACATCGCCAACCCCCCCCCCCCTCTCCCATCATTTATACACCCCCCCATGGATCGCACCTCCTGAACCATAGATTCAGTCCTCCTGGAGCATAGATGGGCTCTTCCTGAACCATAAATTCAGTCCTCCTGGAGCATAGATGGGCTCTTCCTGAACCATAGATGAGCTCCTCCTGAGCCACAGATGAGCTCCTGCCAAAACAGATGAGCTTCTCCTGGAACGTAGTTGGGCTCCTGCCATCTATGAATCCCTCCCCACCCCTTAATTAATTAATTGCAGATTGAGAGTGGGGAGAACACAGCCAACGTCGCCAACCCTCCCCACCCCCCAATGGATCACACCTCCTGAACCATAGATTCAGTCCTCCTGGAGCATAGATGGGCTCTTACTGAACTGTAGATTCAGTCTTCCTAGAACATAGATGGGGTCTTCCTGAACCATGGATTCATTCCTCCTGGAATATAGAAGGGCTTTTCCTGAACCATAGATTTAGTCCTCCTGGAGCATAGATGGGCTCTTCCTGAACCATAGATGAGGTCCTCCTGGAACATAGATGGGTCCTTCCTGAACCGTGGATTCATTCCTCGTAGAGTATAGAAGTGCTCTTCCTGAAACATAGATGGGCTTATGACCCCCCCCTTGCTGTTAATTAATTAATTGCAGATTAAGAGCGGGGAGAACGCGGCCAACATCGCCATCGAGTTGGCCAGGCACACGCGAGGCCCGGTTTATGCGGGCGATGTCAGCTCCGCTGTGCGGCTGCTGGAGCAGCTGCTGGACATCCTGGATGCTCAGCTGCAGGCGTTGCGCCCCCTGGAGAGGGAATCCGCTGGGAAGAACTACAATAAGGTGAGGGGGGGGGGGGGTCCTCCTCAACCATAGATGAGGGCCTCCTGGAGCGCGGATAGGCTCTTCCTGAACCATAGATGAGGGCCTCTGGGAGCATAGATGGGCTCCACCTGGAGGATGGATGAGCTCCTTCTGGAACATAGATGGGCTCCTGCTGAACCCTAGACTCAGTCCTCCTCAACCATAGATGAGGTGCTTCTGAAGCACAGACAGACTCTTTCTGAACCATAGATGAGGGCCTCCTAGAGTATAGATGGGCTCCTTCTGAAACATAGATGAGCTCCTGTGGAAACAGATGGGCTCCTGCTGAACCCTAGACTCAGTTCTTCTCCACCATAGATGAGGTTCTCCTGAAGCATAGATAGACTCTGTCTGAACCATAGATGAGGGCCTTCTAGAGTATAGATGGTCTCTTTCTGAAACATAGATGAGCTCCTGTGGAAACAGATGGGCTTCTCCTGAACCATAGATGAGGGCCTCCTGGAGCATAGATGGGCTCTTCCTGAACCATAGATGAGGTCCTCCTGGAGCGTGGATGGGCGCCTCCTAAACCATAGATGAGGTCCTCCTGACCCGTATCTGGGCTACTTCTGCCGCATAGATTCATTTCTTCTTCCCTATGGATGGGCTCCTCCTGCCCCATAGATTGAGTCCACCTGCCCCACACACCTGGGCTCCTCCTGCCCCATAGATTGAATCCCCCTGCCCCACACCCGGGGTCCTCCTGCCCCACACCTCTGTTCTCCCCCAGATGCACAAACGGGAGCGGACCTGTAAGGATTACATCAAGGTGAGCGCGGTGGGCGGGGCCTGGGCTGGGTAGGCGGGGCCTGAGACCCGTGGGCGGGGCTTGTCATGGATCCAACTTATAAAGGGAAAGAATCTCTCCCGGGTGGGCGGGGTTTTGTGAGCAGTGGGCGGGGCCTGAGGGGTGGGATTGTAGAGGCGGGGCCTGGGCTGTGTGGCTTGAGAGAAGCGGGGCGTGGCCTTGGTGAAGTGGGCGGAGCATGGAGTGTGGGCGGGCGTGAGGGGTGTGGCCTAGTAAAGGGGCGGGGCTTCTGCATAGTGGGCGGGGCAAGAATAAGTGATGTCTTGCAGTGGGCGGGGCTTGATCCATGTGGGCGGGGCTTGTCATGGGAGAGGCCTATAGAAGGGCAGTGTGTCAGCCTGGTGGGCGGGGCTTTGGGAGTAGTGGGTGGAGCCTGTTGTGGGTGCAGACTCAGGGGGCGGGGCCTGTAGGGTGGGTTTGTAGGGGTGGGGCCTGGGCTGGGTAGGCGGAGCTTGTGGGCAGCGTGGGTGTGGTCTGGGGGAAAGTGGGTGGGACATGGGATGCTGTCTAATGAAGGGGCGGGGCTTGAGCGCGGTGAGCGGAGCCTGTAAGTGTGGCTGTTGAGGGGGCGGGGCCTGTTATGGCTTTAGCCTGATGAGGGCGGGGCTTTGAGCAGTGGGCGTGGCCATGGTGTGGCCACGTGGGGGCTGATCTTGTGGGTGGGCGGGGCCACTTGTGGGTGGGGCCACTTGTGGGCGGGGCTTTCTATGAGGACAGGGCTGGGATTGGGGGTGTCATCTTTCATAGGGGGCGTGGCTTATTTCCAAAACCGGAAGTAGGCGTGGTTGGGAATGTGGGCGTGGCCGTTTTTCATGGGGGGTGTGGCTGCTTCCAGAACCGGAAGTGGGTGTGGTTTATATGCAGGGTGTGACCTGTCGTAGGGGGCGTGGCTTCTCTCCAGAACCGGAAGCGGGCGTGGCTTGTTTAGTGGGCGTGGCTTTATCCCCAGAACCGGATATGGGCGTGGTTTCCCTAGTGGGCGTGGCTTGTTTTATGGAGCGACACCCGGGGATCAGGCTGGGGATCAGGCGGCGCTTCCGTGGGCGGGGCTTATCGCGACGTGGGCGGGGTTTCCCATGGGCGCAGGCCGTGGTGGAGGCTGTGGACAACCTGCTGCGGCCCGAGGCCTTGGAGTCGTGGCGGGACATGAACGGCTCGGAGCAGGCGCACACGGCCACCATGCTGCTGGATGTGCTGGAGGAAGGAGCGTTCCTATTGGCCGACAACGTCAAAGAGCCCGCCCGCTTCCTCGCCGCCCGCCAGAACCTGGGTGAGACCCCCGGGGCGGGGGGGGGGGTCTCCTGCCCCACACATGGGGTCCTCCTGCCCCATAGATGGGATCCTCCTGCCCCACATCTGGGCTCTTCCTGCACCATAAATGAATTCCTCCTGCCCCACATCTGAGGTCCTCCTGCCCCACGTAGGGAGTTCTCCTGCCCCACAGATGAAGTCTTCTTGCCCCATCGATGGGCTCCTCCTGCCCCATAGACGGAGTCTTTCTGCCCCACACTCCACATCTGGGATCCATCTGGAGTTCTTCTGCCCCACACCACACAGCTGGGGTCCTCCTGCCCTATAGATGGAGTCCTCCTGCCCCACATGTGGGCTTCTCCTGCCCCAGAGATGGAATCCTCCTGCCCCACATCTGATCTTCTCCTGCCCCACATTTGGGCTTTTGCTGCCCCATAGATGGAGTCCTGCCCCACACCTGAAGTCCTCTTGCCCCACGTCTGGTCTCCTCCTGCCCCACACTTGGTCTCTTCCTGCCCCATACCTGAGGTCCTCCCGCCCCACGTCTGGTCTCCTCCCGCCCCACACCTGGTCTCCTCCTGCCCCACGCCTGAAGTCCTCTCACCCCACACCTGAGGTTCTCCTGCCCCACATCTGGTCTCCTCTTACCCCACAGTTGTGCTCCTCCTGCCCCATAGATGGAGTCCCGCCCCACACCTGGTCTCCTCCCACCCCACACCTGAGTTCCTCCCACCCCACACCTGAGTTCCTCCC